CCGCAGTATTTTGTCAAAACTCACCGCATATATGAAATTTTAGTTAAAGTAATCTTAATCTTTAACTGCATTAACATTGTTAAGTAAGAAATTATAACTAATAATTATCCCAGACAGCACAAGATATCCAAGGACGCCCGAAAGACATTCCGAGAACTTTTAAATGTTTGTAAATGTTTCCGGAAAATCTATTAGAAATCTTGTACTATTTGGGATGTTACTATTATTTGGTGTTTGCTAGATTCTTTATATATGAATATTCAATAAAAAAAATATTTGACTCGCAATTTACTTATTTAATAATGTTTTACATAAGTACTTACGAGATACTTATTTAGAAATAGTTTATATATATGTACTTACGATAAATTAAGCCTTTCCTTTTTAAATAAATATTCTGTTCTTGTCGTGAATTTAAAATTACTTGTGTCTTTCCTGTAAATGTTACTAATTTAAATGTAGCAAACAAGTTTGGAGTACTACTTAACCTAAAATCATGATTTTTTCTGTGGTAAACAATAAAACAAACCGTAGAAATATCTATATACAAATTGTTATGATAAATACAGTAAACATAAAGTAATAGTAACATAACATAACATCAATGCTATAATTTCCTACTCAACAATGTAACTGTTATATAACGCGTGTGTTATATAACAGTTACATTGTTAAGTAGGAAATTCTAACATTGATGTTATGTTACTGTTACTTTGTGTTTACTGGGTATCTATATACAATTGTTATGATTTAAGCGGTCGTCGCTTAAAAACTTATATACATATTTCTTTATAGCTTGTTTTGTTCATTGAGATAGTAAAAGTCACGATTTTAGATAGAATATATTTAAACATTTACTCTAAATATTATTTTAAAAAACTATTACATAGAGCAAACATTAGTAAATAATTAGCCAGATTAAAATGTACCTTTTCCTTTATCTTTTTTTTGTATATTTTGTATATTTGTTAATATGTTGCTATGTTTTTTTCTATTTTGCGTATCTTCTTTTTGCTCTATTCTCTGTGTGTTTTCTTTTTGTAGGCTCTTTTTTTGTTGTGTTTCTATTGAGATCTCTGCAAATGTTTCACTGTCATCAAATCTCTGTGAAATATCTGATAAATAAAAATTCAACCGTTAATGTCAATTACAATTTGACTTATCTATAGTTATATAATATAATATCTATAATATCTATAATATAATATCTATATAATATCTATATTATAAGACTTATCTATAGTTATATAATATAATTTGACTTATTTTATACTTACATAATAATAATAATAATGTAGTTCATTTACAAACCTTGATTACTAGAAGAATGGCTTTTTTCAATGTACGTAGAATCAGCTTCGTTAGAACTTATTATATCCGCACCTTGAGCCTTTTCTAAGATCTTTGACATTTCTAATATGTCGACTTTAGCAACAGGTTGTCGGTAAATTTCTTTGTGTATGTGTTCATGATGACCCATGAAGTTTGCTACTCTCGTTACTTGTCTATCCGACAAGTTTAAATCTACACATTTCGTTGCTATGTGTTTACGCAACGTAGTACCACGAAGTGCGGAAACATATTTCGCTCCACTTGCACTTGCGTAATCTCGCATTAATTTACAAGCTCTTAAATGTTTGTAACTTGTTTTATTATCACCACCGGGTAATCCAAACAAGAAAGGGTTCTTTGCTGATACCATAGCGTGTTTCCGAAACTGTAGCAAAATTTGTATACTTTTTAACATTTGTGCATTTAATAACACTGGTACTGTTCGATTGAGTTTCCCGCGAATTTTAAACCTAACATAGTTATGAGTACTGATTTGTGTTGAAGTTTTACAAGTAGCAGCTGTTCCGCAGGGACATTCATAGTTTTTAAAATCTTCAATTAAAATTCTTTCAGTTTCGCCGGCTCTGCGACGATTGAAAACTTGAATAGCTAAGAGTGTTGCTTCAGCTAATGATTTCCATGTTTGATATGAAAATTGTTTTAATAACATATTATAATTGTCTTCCATTGTTTTCTTTAAATGATTATATAGAACTTTTATATCATTTGTTTGAGGCAATACTGTCTTTTTGTGTCGTTTAATTTTTGTATGAGTTTCTGTTACGACTTTATTTACAGTCCCACTAAAATCAATCTCATAAATCTTCATAAAATCGACAACTTCTTCTCGTTTCATTGGATTTTTGTCTGTCATGTACGTAACGTCTAAGATTTTACCAATTTTTTT